CGCCGCCCCGGGTGCCCGCGGGACCGCGGCCGAGGAGCCCCGACCCCAGGCTTCAGGCGGACCTGTCCCCCCTAAAGGAGGAGCATGCAGAAGTAGTCAAAGGAAAGAGTCAGGGGACGATCTGTTTGACCATCTGTGATCATTTTTGGAGCAGTTTCCTCCAAAATCTGCCTGTAGGGGGACATGCCCGACCTAACCCCAGACCACGAGGCTGCGGCTGTAGATGCGCGTGTTTCCGCCGCCGGCGGGTGAGCCCTCAGCGAGGAGGGGTCCCGAGGGCGAGGTGCCTCAAGCAGCGTGAGACTGCTCTCGACGCTTTCCGGTCTCTTCCCATCCTTTCTTAGGCCCCCATCCCTCAGGACCCCACCTTTGAGTCACCGACTCCTTCCCGCTGTGCCTTCTTCCTCCCCTCCAAGAGCAAACGCCTGCATCAGCATAAACTTTCGGAGCTCCGCGCGGATGTCTTGGATCGGCGCTGGGCCCCCCCTGCGGCGCCTCCGGCGCCGTCCTTAGCGCGTTCCGCGCGCCAGGGAGGGGGGTCGAGGTAGTTCCAGGAACTCTGAGCGGACTGAGAGTTTATGCTTGTTTTGTTGTTTGCTTCTGTATCCTCTGTCTACAGGGGTGGGCCGTGCGCCTGATGCCAGATCGTCGTTCCCCAGACGGGATAGTGATGGTGTTCCACCCCGTCTCACCGTCTCACCCTTCACGCTACTGCTTGTTTTCGGAGACTCCATCGGGGGGTCGGCCTCACCTTCGAGCGCCGTCCTCAGCGCATGTTGGCGGTTCGCTTCGGCGCAGCCCGTGCTCCGTCTTCGTGTTGCTCGCCCCTGGCGTCTCACATCGCGGCGGGCTCCCCTCGGGGGCAATGTCAGGGGGGATTGGCCCCAGGGGGGAGGCCTCGACCCCCAATCGCCAATTCGGCGCCGACAGGGCATAGGGGCCTGGTAACCCTATCACGCCTAGAATTGTGTGGACTCGCTATCGGGGGACGGTACGCCGATGCATCTGCGATGTCTCGCCGATTCCAGCTCGATGTATCCCCCCGTGAGCTGGTTCCCCCTAACGTTCCCCCTCACACCGCCCGTTTCCCTCGCTCCCTCCGTGATGAGAGGTTGGCCGTGGGCTTACGCCCCGCCCGTGAGGAGGGCAGGGGTAGGCCTGGGGTTTGCCTCGGTACTTGGTCTCCTGGCGGGTTTTCCTGGCCCAGGATGGTGCGGTGGTTGTCCTGGCGGGTTTTCCTGGGCCCAGTGTTTGACCTTCGGGTCCCTCAGGTCTTCCTCGTTTTGTCCTGAGGTGTGTACGTTCGTCGCACGCATTCTTGGCTTGCCCCCCCGCCTCCTTCGTGCTGCGGCCAGGGGCTCTCCAGAGCACGGTCAGATCTCATCCGGAGCCCCCTCACCCCTGTCGTGCTGCGCCCGCTGCCTTTCTTGGCGCGGGTGTACTGGACGCCCGCGCCAACAGCGACCGACGCGGTCCGCCACGCCTAGCTGCAGGAAAGAGGGTCTCTCTCTCTCTCTCTCTCTCTCTTTCTGGGTGGGAAATCGACTTCCGAACTAATGTACCGCACATTTTGAAACTGGACGGACATATCAGTCTTGGGGTAAATCAATTCTACAGTCGATTCCCTACTCGATCTTTTCTTTCGATTCTGGCAAGTTCACTTGCATGGAGGGGGGAGTGGTGGGTCGTAGCGAAGACCAAAAGGAGACCTCAGACCTGGACTTCACGCGCGTCGGGACTCACTTGTACGTCTTTTCGCCCAAGCGCTGTTCGACAAAGCGACGGAGGGAGAGGGGGTGGGAATTCGCGCAAGTAAACTTGCCATACTAAAGCAGAAAAGCGCTCTTTCGGTTCGGTCAGTGAATCCGCGGACTGGCACCGCGGCCTTCGTCATCGTCGCCGTCGTCGTCCTCGCCACCCCTGGTCCTCGCCAGCCTCGCCCTTCCCGTAGTCGTCGACCAAGGTGGGCAGAGCCTATTTCGTATACGTCGTGGTCTGCCTCCCAGAACGGGAAGGAAGTTTCCTGAGTTGTAGATGTGTTGCTGCTGCGGGCCAGGCTTGCACCTTGGTGGCGCAGCTATCAGCAATCATAAGAAGAATCATATTTCTCGTCGTCGTCGTCGTCCCCCTTCCCCCCCTCGTCCTCCTTTTACACTGCCCAGCGGAGGACGACTGCGTCTTCGTTGCCATGTGCGTGCCGTGCGCCCCGCCGCTTCCGTCGCTAGCGTAGCCGTCGCTGCTGCCGCTGCCGCCGCCGTCGCCGCGACACGGTGGCCCTGTTTCCGTTCGGTCCGCTCCGGGCGTTCGGGTCGGTTCGGCCGGTCTGGTTCAGACCGCAGTCCAGTTCGGTCCAACGGATCCATCTCCTCTTGGAAGACGGGCAGGGAGGGAGGGAGGGAGGGAGGAGAAGGAGGAGATCAGGGGAGGAGGAAGAGGAGGAAGAGGAGAAGGAATGGGAAGGAGGCGAGAAAGGAGGCGGAGAAGGAGAAGGAGAAGGAGGGGGAGGAGAAGGAGGTGGAGGAGGCGGGGGAGGAGGAGGAGGAGGAGGAGGAGGAGGAGGAGGAGGAGGAGGAGGAGGCGGAGGAAGAGGAGGAGGCGGAGGAGGAGGAGGAGGAGGAGGAAGTGAAGGAGGCGAACAAGGAGGGGAGGGAATAGATGTACGTAGCACCCCGCAGTTGCGGATGTGAGTAAGGGGGCGGCGCGGTCGTTGGCAGTGTGGCAGGCTCTGAACTCGCCGCAGGCACCGAACATGTGCAAATCATACAACGAGCTTGCCGCAGTTCGATGTTTTGTCAAAGCAGTGTGGGTGGATCGCGGGTGGGCCGTGGTTGGGTCGCCATGTGGGTCACGTGGTGGGTCGCGGTCGGGGTCGCGGGGGGTGGTCGCGGGCGGGTCGCGGGCGAGGACGACGACACCAACAACGGGACAACGCAGCAACAATCCGCACCGCGGAATCCCATTTCAGCCACGCGTCCAGAGACAATGGATGACTGTTCGACCCCCTCACTCTGATGAGTGTTAATCTGAGTATGATTCTGGCCGTGTGCCACTGTCAATGGTACACAGCAACCTGGGAGCTGAGCGAGCATCATTACGCCTGCATGCTTCTGGGGGCTCGTCCTGCTTGGCGCGGGACTTTTGGCCAGAGCCTCGGAGAAAGGCGGTTCAATTATTGTGAAGGCCTTGCGGCCAGTGCCGCCGACCCAGAAGGACGACGACGACGAGCACGATGACGACCACGACGACACCGACAACGACGAGCTAAAGACCCTGCCACATGCTCGGGACATTGGGCGGGCAGTAGACGGAGGACGGAGGAGGTGGTGGAGGAGGCGGAGGGGGAGGAGGAGAAGGAGGAGGAGGAGGAGAAGGAGGAGGAGGCGGAGGAGGCGGAGGAGGCGGAGGAGGAGGAGGAGGAGGAGGAGGAGGAATAGGAGGAGGAGGAGGGGGAGGAGGAGGAGGGAGGAGGAGGAGGAGGAGGAGGAGGAGGAGGAGGAGGAGGAGGAGGAGGAGGAGGAGGAGGAGGAGGAGGAGGAGGAGGGGAGGAGGAAGAGGAGGAGGAGGAGGGAGGGAGGAGGAGGCGGAGGAGGAGGAGGAGGAGGAGGAGGAGGCGGAGCGGAGGCGGAGGCGGAGGCGGAGGCGGCGGCGGAGGCGGAGGCGGAGGCGGAGGCGGAGGCGGAGGCGGAGGCGGAGGAGGAGGAGGAGGAGGAGGCGGAGGCGGAGGAGGCGGAGGAGGAGGAGGCGGAGGAGGCGGAGGAGGAGGAGGAGGAGGAGAGGAGGAGGAGGAGGAGGAGGAGGAGAGCTGTCTGTCTCCTCGGCGGCGGACCGGGGCTGGGACCAGGGCCAGGCCTGGGGCGGGGGTGGAGCCGGGCTGGGGCTGGGGCCCAGCCAGGGGACGGGTCTGGGGCCGTGGCCAGGGCCGGTGTCTGTGCTGGGGCCGCGCGGGGCTGGGCCCGAGGGGGTTGGGACTCGGGCTGGGGCCTGGGCTGGGACTGGGGGCGGGGTCGGAGCCGGAGCCAGGGCCTGAGAGGCGGGGGGAGGGGTCCTCTCTCCTGTCCTCTCTGTTCACAGTCGGGACAGTCCAGGTTGGGGGTCAGGACCTCGAGGAAAGCTAACTGTGACAAAAGTGTTCACAATTCTTACATCAGCCGGCCTTGAGATGGCCATGCAATTCTAGATCACCACTGGGGTGGACAACCCCTCCAGCTATGCGTACTTGCGTAATTCAAAACCGGATAGCAGCGTAGTCCGACGAGCGGGAAAGGCTCATAGTACAAGCTTGCCAAGCCGCTGGGAAACGTGACTGGCAAGCTTGCAAGCGCGGGAAACGCGTGTAGGAGACGCTTGCCAGGACGCTGGGAAGCATGCCTTGGGAGCCTGCAAGCCTTCGAATTCGAGCTTCGGAGCTCCCAAGGAGCTGAGAAGGACCTGCGGCAAGGCTTCAGGCACGCGCACTGGGAACGAGAAGGACAACGCTCCCAGAACACGCTGCAACTTCAAGCATTTTGCTCCGAGGATGCCTGCCCAGGAGCCTTGAAGAGGAGCTGGCGTAACCCTTCCTGCCGGCTTCTAATCTAACAACCTTCTTGACTCTCCAAGGAGCTATCCGTGAAAATCGAGTTTGGGAGTTGAATGAAAACACATGCTTGGTTCGAGGCATGGGAGTCTTCAAACAACGGCCCTGGATGAGAAACTGGTCCCGCACAGAAAGGGTCGAGATCACCAGCGGTCCACGCTGCGAACAAATCACGACTTTGGGGGTTGGGTGTTCCTCTTCCTTCCACACTTGGTTTTCCCTTCGCTTCCCTGATCCTGCACCTCCTGCCCCCCCCCCTCCCACTCCCCTTCCTCCCTCTTCCCCGGGGATCAGCGCTCTGCCTCCTCCCTCTTCTCCCTCCTCTTCTTCCCTATTCCCCGTTTTCGCCCCCTCCCTTCTGCCTCGCTCTGGGCACTCCTCTCGCGAGGGCGGGTGCCCGAAAGGATCGCCAAAGCCCTCCGCCATGACCAAGCCCGTCGCTGGGAAGGGGTCCAGACCCCTGGGGCGGGGAGAGGGGCGCGTTTTGAAAAACAGCACGACGTTTGGGGGCCTGAGTCCAGGGGCCAAAGCTCAACCCCCAGACCCGTCGCGGGGTGCGCCCCGGCCAGACGTTCGAAGCGGGCCAAGCCGCAGCGACGAGGAAAGACGTCGAAAACCCGCAAGCCGCGAAGGGTACACATGGAGCTTGGACGTGGGGAGGCCCCACCCACCCCTGGGATCCGCCCACGCTCAAAAACGTCGCAGCATTGACGACAACGGCAACGACGACAACCACGACGACGTCGACGACGACGACGGCGCCTGGAAGTCATGGACCCCGCGGCAATTCTCGAGTCGGCTCGATCCGCGAGGGCGACAGGGCCTGAGTCTGGGCAAGAACGCCCAGTGTGGAAGCACAGTGCGACGCCCAGTGAGAACGTTTTGGTGCCGCGAGTCGTTGCCAGACATGCCGGTGTCGTGGAAAATCACGGCGACATGGTTTTGGACGTTTTCGGCCTCCTGGGGGCCCAGAGCCGTCGAACAAATGCTCGGAATGAAAACTGGCCGGCCCTGGGAAAGGGTAGGATTTCCAGGGACCCCGTGTTGAAAATACGGATGCAGGGTCTATATCGATCCGATCAATCCGATTCGATATCGATCTTGGCCAGCCCGATCCAATTTGATTCCGATATTCCGACGATCCGATGCGGCCCGATGTTCTCATGGCGCTGTTGTGCATCTTGGCGCGGCCCACTCCGACGCGCGTTCCGATCCGACCCGACTTCCCGAGTCTACCCTGGCTGATCTCGAGGACTTCTGGGGGGTCCGCACTGAAGAGAGCAAGGTGTCCGGCGACGTGGCTTTAGACGTCGGGGAGGTCTGCGCTTCGGCGCCTGGTGGCGCCATTGGTACCCAGCTCGGACCGGAATGCCGAGGAGGGCCGCCACTGAGGGGGGTCGCCACTTCCTCGAGGAGGCGCCGTCTCCTCCAGGGAGTGGGCCCCGCAAAGCACTCCAGAGCCTTCAGCACGACCCAGAGCTTGCAGCACTCTCCTCGAGCCTCGATACCGCAGCCTCGATTTGCAGGAGGGTCTGGTGCCCCCCCCCCTCCCCCCCTTTGGCGGCCCCTTCCGGGCCCGGCCGCCCGCGCGCCCGCCCCGCAGCTTCACGTACACCATGCTGAGTGCCAGCGTCGCCACCGCCCTCCGGGACCCCGCCCTGCGGCAGCTGTGCAGGGCGAAGGCGCCCGCGCCGCCGCCTGCGGGAGGTGGAGGCGCAGGGCTCGAGCCCAGGCCTCCGAGGTCAGATGTCCAATCACAAGAGTATGAGCTCGTCTTGGACTGGATGTATAGCGCCCAGTAGCGGCGAATCTTCGCCCAAATAGCGCTCAATAGAACCAATTGCGCCCAACAGCGCTATGTGAGGGAGATGCGTCAGGCCCGCTCTGCTTGCGACTAGGCGCGCGATTGAGCGCCGTGGGGGCGACCAACAGCTTCCTCGATTTGTGTTCTGACCGATGATATTTCGTGTTACATTCGGAAGTTGTTCTTCCGTTCCGCTTCCGTGGCCCGCCACAAAAGGGATGGCTTGGGATGAGAAACAGGCCTTGGGGAAGTGGTCAGGGCTTCGAAGGACCGTTCGTCGCAAAATCATTGCTTCGGTGGCGAAGCCAATACAAGGCCATTTACCGCCGAGTGTGCATCCAAGGGCGCAACCATTACCAGGCGGTTTCACTCGCGGCCGCCGATGGCGCAATCTATGGTGTGACACGCACCAGCAACCGGCCGTCCTGTTCATGATTTCGGATGCAGATTGCGCATTATCTCATGGCTTTCGGCCCATCCCACCACCTTGCCTGTGTTGTGGGTCCGAGGCCTCTTGAATGTTCGTTGGGATCTCGTCGAGGCCTGTCGGGGGCCTACTGGAGGCAGTATTGAGGCCGCTGAAGGGCTGTGTTGGGGCCTCTTTGGTGCTCCGTGGGTTCCTCGTGGAGGCCCCTGGAGGGCCCTCGCTCTCGAGGCCTCTTCGGGGCCTCCTGAGGCGCAGCCTATGGCGCACCCCGCCGATGGCGCCGCGCACGGCGCAGCCCACAGATGGCGCAACCCACCGACGTCGCAGCACATGGTTCAGGAGGGATGAAATCACACAGACTCAATTCATCGTCGATTCCCAGGGAAGTATGGGAAAATATGGGACGCAAGGGGGCAGACAAAGACCCAGAAAATACGCGAAAATACTGGGAATCCTGTTATTTGTGTGTTTTAATTGTGTGTCTCTGGGCCTCTTCAATGGCGCAACTTACGCATGGCGCAACCAGGGGTTCGGTCACAAATCATGGGGGCTTTCAATGCTCTCGCACTTTCGTCTTTAGAGTGCGTTAGCGCCGACCGGCGTCTGGTAATCGATGAGGTCGAGCCGATGTGGCGTCGATTATCGTCGACCCGCGTCGATGAGCGTCGAGTTAGCGCCCGTTAGCTTCCACTAGTGTCGGTTAGCGTCGATTTGCAAGGGCCAACAAGATGGTATGGGAAACTCCCATGAGTTGCCACCGAACAAGGACCGTGGGCTTGTTGTTCGTCCCTTTCGTTTACGTCACCTGAGTGATGTTTTGGCTGTCGCATTGCGTTTCTCGTCATCCGAGTCTGTTGCTTCGTTATCATGGCTTCGATTTCGTCACTCGGGACTGTCTTTGTCACCAACCTTCGCTTCGTCGCTTTCTTTCCTTGATCGGCTCTCAGATTTGGCGTTCGTCACTGGGGATCTGCTTCGCCACCTAAGCGATGGAGGAAAATGGGGCCAGGGCCGGCTTCGCCGATCTTCGCGCGTAGGGTCGCGCGTTCGCGCCCTCTTCTCCACGCGGTGTGCCGCTCTAGCGGCCAGCGCACGCCGACGCGCAAGGTTGCTACGTCAGCTCGCGTAAGAACCGCTTCCTTCCGTTACTCAATTGGACTTCGCCGTCGGCGTTTGGATTCTCGCTCTCGGTGCTTGTAGTCGTGCTGTTGGCACATGGGTTTCATTTCGAAAGATTTGACGGCTTCTCGGGCTCGGCAGGATTTTAGGATAGCCTTGAGGGTTGGGCCATATTTGCGGTGAAGTTATGCAATATGTGATTTGGCGGAATGGGGAGTCCCATATGGACCAATATCTCAACGGGCGTGTTGATCACCTGGTAAACATGTGGAGCCGGTGGCATCAGATGTATCATTGACGACGTGCGTTATCGATAGTTCAGGCCTCTGGGTTCATATTTGATCTACAGGCTTACGCCACATCCGTCGACCCCTCTATGAACTACTGCGCGTCTGGGACTGCATTCCACGAGGCTTGTCCGATTCCTGGGAGGTTCTTGGGGGCTCTGTTCGGGCTCCCTGCGGCTTCTTGGGGCGTGTTGGGTGCTTCTTGAGGCAACCTGTGGGCGTCCTGGGGCCGAAGGCTGGAAATATGGGTTCGGGTTCCCCTCGTGGGCCCCCTTTCGGCGCCGTCCGGGGGCCCTCTGGGGCCGCCATCGGGGGCTTCTTTGGCGGTCTTGGGACCCTTGTGGACCGTCTTGGAACTGTCCTAGGGGTCTTTTGGGCCGTCTTGCACGGTATGAAAGCGCAAGAGGCGAATATGTTAAAAACATACGTTTTCCTACGGGAGTGGGGCAATGTTCACTTCTTCGGTGCGTTTTGGGATGCCTCTTGGGGCGTTTGGGAGGCATCTTGGGCTGTCTGGATGCCCTCTTGGATCGTCTTGGGGCCCACTTGGGACCCTCTTGGCCCGTTTTGGGGCCCTCTATGCTCCCATGGCGCGTTCGTCCGGGGCCGGGGGGTGGAGTCAAATCGCCGGTCTGGGGATCTTGGGGGGGGGCTATGGGGGGGGAACAATCTCACACGCCTCGAGACCCACAAGGGGTCGGCAAATTCATCGTGCACATGTGGCCCTTGTTCTTTTTCATATCTCCCGCCTGCCACCTTGGCTTCGTTCTCGGCACCTGGGCGCCAGCTTCGGCAGTCCGTCCCGCATGCGGCGCCGATCGCTTGTGTTTACACAGTTTTTTCATCCTCAGAGGAGGTTTCGTCGTCGTCGTCGTCGTTATCGTCAGCGGCGGCGTCGTCGGCGGCGCCATCGCCCCGTCGTCGCCGTCGTCGGTATCGCCTCGTGGTCGTCGCCATGGCCGCCAGCCTCCTCGCCGTCGGCGGAGCTGCCTCTGCTGGCCTGCTGCGCCCAGGTCCTGTGCAAGACCCTCGGGGGGCTCAGGTGCGGCTCCTCTGCTGCCGCCGGCGCGGGCCAGTGCTGATGCGAGGGGCGGATTGCCTCCCTCCTCCCTCGCCTGCGAGAAGACCAGGGGTTGGGCGGAGCTCCAGGCCACGAGGACGTTCCCGACTCACCGCCCGAGTTCAGTCCGACAGCAGGAGCAGGTGGACCTAGAGAATACTGCGTGGACGCCTTGGTTTGGGACTGAGGCCAGACGGTCAATAGCGAGGCCTTCTCTAAGATGGTGCGATTCTCCCCGCACGTCGTGCAGACGTGCGCCGTACCTCAGAGCATGCAGCTGACAATTTCCTGTCCCCCTTCCGAAGCACGGCGCCCCCTGCCCCGGAGGCGACCGCTCCGGCAACTTTGGCCAGCCCGCGGACCGATCCGAACCGACTCGTGCATTTTTCCCGGCGAGGACACCATCGGAGAGCACCTCTGATTACCGTGCGAAACATCTGCGCACGAAGCCGACAAAGGTACGTGGAATGGACGCGGGCTCGTTTTCATCGAGGCCTCCTGTGGAGCGCGTACAGAAGGGCGCTTTCGTCGAGGCCTCCAGGGGAGCGTCGCAGGCGAATTTTCTCCTCCAGGAGGAGGGATTCTTCGGATACACCAGAATTTCTGGTCCAATCGAAAACCTGACGAAGCCTGGGGTAGGGGTCGACATGTCCCCTGTTAGAGCGCGCCTTCGTGGTACGGTTTCGGTGTTCGGGGTTGACTCTGGCGCTCTGCGCAGGTGGTGACTCTCGGACTCGGTGCGCCACCCGTCTGGCCCGGCTGGTTGTGTGGAGCACGCGGCGCGCCAAGCCCATCGTCGTACCCACCCGCTTGCTCTCTCCCGGTGCCTCCCCTTGGCGGGGTGGCCTGGAAGAGGGAGGTCCTTGTTGCCACGCAAGACCTTGACATCGCTCGGACGTGTGCGTTTCGAGGAGCATCCTGGATCACCTTGCGAAAAATCAGCGAACGCAACCGAAACACTCACAGGGAATGGACGTCCGAGCGATGGCGAGAGATGTGGGGCGCTCCAGAAAGGGCCTTGACCTCGAAGGATCGAGAGGTTGGCATCTCTTCCTCGGCGGAAGGCGGCATAATGCCGCGGAATCAAAACGAGGCCGTTTCCGCCGGCGGATGGCTGGCGGAAGTTGGCGGAGAGGAAAATCGGTTTGGATTCGGGGTTGTCGGAATCGGCCACGTTGCAGGTTTAGGAGGGCAAGGACGGAGGAACCAGGATGGTGGGAGGAGGGGGAGGAGGGGGAGGAGGAGGACGAGGAGGAGGAGGAGGAGGAGGAGGGCCAAGAGGGACCCAGGCTCTTGGGTAGTTTTCTTCTCCATGTCCCGCCTCTGTCTCTCTCTCTCTCTCTTTCTCTCGTTTCTTTCCTCCCATTCCAACCCTTCTCCAATCCACGGTTGCGGCAGGCAGGCCGACAGCCCTCGTAAAAAAGTAGTTTCTGGGGCTCCGCAGCTCCGATGCTGGCTGGCACCAGATACTTGGCTTGCTCGCTGGTGCGCCGGAACCCGACACCCCCCTACGGATTATCGATGAAGGGTATCGCCCTATCTTGGTTACCGTTCTGGTCAATTTTCAAACAGCGTTCGCCGTGGCACCGTCGGCTTTGCTTGGTTGGCTCGGTGGTTCCACTATCTACGCATACCCCGCTTGGCGCCATCGCACCGATGCGTCTGCGCAATTTCTGACTATCTATCTACCTGCCCGTGCCCCGTCGCACCTTCCGCTTGGCTCGAGTGATGGCGTCCATCTATCTATCTGTGTCGCCGTCGCACGGACGCAGATTTGCATTCCATGTCTTGTTCTCTGCATATTTATCTACCCAGCCCAACGCGCCGTCGCACCAGCTTGTCCCGGCATTTACGCGGCCTTCTGTCGTACGTCTCCAAGCACGTGCGGGTTTCCCCATGGGGTTCTAATGTGTTTTCCGTGAGGGGCCCCGCACGGAATACATGTTGAGAAGTTCCCAATGGATTTTCCAGGGTGTGCGCATGAATATGGGGTCTGTGGGGCGATGTGACTTTCAGTAGGCTTCAGGACTGGCCCCGGAAGAACGCGGGGGGTCATGATCTCTTATTGTGGGAAAATTACCCTGGCGAAGTACCCAACCCTTGCGCAATGCTGGGCATAAGTGCATCAGGATTGCTACAACGGGGGGCGATGACGTAACATGGACGCATGTGATTTTGCGAGCAGCAATCGGAAGTCTCGCAGGCCTCCGATCAAGATACAAGGGCGTCGAGGCGGTTACTAACGCAGCCCCCCCAGGGACGGCGAGGTTTCGCTCAGGTCCCCGCGGTGCCTCAGTCCGCCTCGACAGTGTTGTTCAGTCTCGCAGATCGCAGCCCCCCAGGGACGGCGAGGTCTCGCTCAGGTTCCCGCGGTGCCCCACTCCGCTGGACCCACCAGCAGCCCTCGAAATTGGCGACAGTGTCGCAGATCGCAGCCCCCCAGGGACGGCGAGGTCTCGCTCAGGTCCCCGCGGTGCTTCAGCCCGCTGCACCCAACAGCAGCCCTCGAAAATGGCGACACTGTCGCAGACCGCAGCCCCCCAGGGACGGCGAGGTCTTGCTCAGGTCCCCGCGGTGCATCACTCCGCTGTACCCACCAGCAGCCCCCGAAAGTGGCGACAGTGTCGCAAATCGCAGCCCCCCAGGGACGGCGAGATCTCGTTCAGGTCCCCGCGGTGACTCACTCCGCAGAACCTACCAGCAGCTCTCGAAAATGGCGACAGTGTCACTGGTCGCAGCCCCCCCCCAGGAACGGCGAGGTCTCGCTCAGGTCCCCGCGGTGCTTCAGCCCGCTGCACCCAACAGCAGCCCTCGAAAGCGGCGACACTGTCGCAGACCGCAGCCCCCCTGGGACGGCGAGGTCTCGCTCAGGTCCCCGCAGCGCCTCAGTCCGCAGGACCCACCAGCAGCCCTCGAAAATGGCGACACTGTCGCAGACCGCAGCCCCCCAGGGGCGGCGAGGTCTCGCTCAGGTCCCCGCGGTGCTTCAGTCCGTCCGCAGGGCGCACCAGCAGCCCACGAAAGTGGCGACACTGTCGCAGACCGCAGCCCCCCCCCAGGGACGGCGAGGTCTCGCTCAGGTCCCTGCAGCGCCTCAGTCCGCAGGACCCACCAGCAGCCCTCGAAAGCGGCGACGCTGTCGCAGATCGCAGCCCCCCAGGGGCGGCGAAGTCTAGCTCAGGTCCCCGCGGTGCCTCACTCCGCTGTACCCACCAGCAGCCCCCGAAAGTGGCAACAATGTCGCAGATCGCAGCCCTCCAGGGACGGCGAGGTCTCGCTCAGATCCCCGCGGTGCCTCAGTCCGCTGGACCCACCAGCAGCACTCGAAGGTGGCGACACTGTCGCACATCGCAGCCCCCCAGGGACGGCGAGGTCTCGCTCAGGTCCCCGCGGTTCCTCACTCCGCTGGACCCACTAACAGCGGCTTTTGAAAAGGGGCGACATTGTCGCATATCGCAGCCCCCCAGGCACGGCGAGGTCTCGCTCGGGTCCCCGCGGTTCCTCAGCCCGCAGGACCCACCAGCAGCACTCGAAAGTGGCGACAGTGTCGCAAATCGCAGCCCCCCAGGGACGGCGAGGTCTCGTTCAGGTCCCCGCGGTGCCGCACTCCGCTGGATCCACCAGCAGCCCTCGAAAGTGGCGACAGTGTCACATATCGCACCCCCTTGACATGATGCGCACACAAGAGGTACCGCAGCCAAGCTGCACACACACACATACACACACACACACGAGGTACACACACACACACACACACGAGGTACGCACAAGACCAGAGTAGCCGCTGGACCCACCAGCAGTCCTCGAACGTGGCGACAGTGTCACATATCGCAGCCCCTTGGCAAGATGCACACGCAAGAGGTACCGCAGCCAGGATGCACACACACACACACGAGGTATTCACACGACAGGAGGAGACAAGAGGAAAGCGAGAGGCGAGAGGCGGGATGGGGAGGACTGGAGGCCGCAGTGCTTTTTCCAAAACAAAACCCAACCAAGGGGGGGGGGGGGGGGGAATAACACGGACGCGGGGCGCACCCGAGAGCGCACAGGACGCAATCAAATCCGACGCCAGTGAATATGGGCAGAGGGTTCAGAAAGAAAACATGCACGCAATCGAAGCCGAATGTGTGAAGGGAACGCGCGGTAGTACGATTTATTTATTTGCGGGCATGACCAGCATGCTCCATAACAGGACCAGTCACAGCGCGACTGGCAGCATTGGCGCTAGCGTAGAAGCAGTAGTAGTAGTAGTAGCGGTAGTAGCCGTAGTCGTAGTCGTAGTAGGAGTGGCTGTGGCAGTGGTAGCACCAGTATTAGTCGCAGTAGTAGTAGTAGTAGTAGTAGTAGTAGTAGTAGTAGTAGTAGTAGTAGTAGTCGTCGTAGTAGTAGTCGTAGTAGTAGTAGTAGTAGTAGTAGTAGTAGTAGTAGTAGTAGTAGGAGGAGTAGGAGTAGGAGTAGGAGTAGTAGTAGTAGTAGTAGTAGTATTAGTAGTAGTAGTAGTAGTAGTAGTAGTAGTAGTAGTAGTAGTACTATTAGTAGTAGTAGTAGTAGTAGTAGTAGTAGTAGTAGTAGTAGTAGTAGCAGTAGTAGCGGTAGTAGTAGTAGTAGTAGTAGTAGTAGTAGTAGTAGTTGTAGTAGTTGTATTAGGTATTAGTCTTAGTGGTAGTAGTAGTCGTCGTCGTAGTCCTAGTAGTAGTAGTAGTTGTAGTAGTAGTAGTAGTAGTAGTAGTAGTAGTAGTAGTAGTAGTAGTAGTAGTAGTAGTAGTCGCAGTAGCAGTAGCAGTAGCAGTAACAGTAGCAGCCGTCGTAGTAGAAGCCGTTGTAGCAGTAGCAGCAGTCGCAGTCGTAGTCGTAGTAGTCGTAGTGGTAGTCGCAGTCGTAGTCGTAGCCGTAGTAGGTACTAGCAGTAGAAGTCTTTTGCGGTAGTAGCCGTAGTAGTAGTAGTGGTAGTAGAAGTAGGAGTAGTCGCAGTAACAATT